TGAGGGATTTCAAATTCCCCAACTCTCTAGGAATGAAACCAGAAAGTTGATTAGCGTAAAGATGCAGAATATTGAGGGAGCTTAGGTCACCAAATGATGAAGGGATTGAGCCAGAAAGGTTATTTGTATGAAGGCTTAGACTATAAAGCGATTTCAACTTCCCAATCTCTGGGGGAATCGAACCAGAAAGTGCATTATGGAACAAATGTAGCATAGTTAGCTTATTTAAGTTTCCAAAATTGGATGGGATGGGACCTGTTAGGTAATTGGAGTCTATATCGAGTTCAACAAGATTGAAAAGATTTCCCATCTCTGGAGGAATGGAACCAGAAAGGTTATTTTGATATAGATACAAGTAAGCTAACTCGCTTAAACTTCCAATGGACGCAGGAATGTTACCATTGAGATTGTTGGTATACAGAGCAAGTTCAGTCAGTGATTTTAGCTGGCCAATTTCTTGAGGTATCGAGCCATTTAAAGAATTTTCAACCAAATGGAGGGTCTGAAGATTTTTTAGCAGGCCAATCTCTGGTGGTATTATTCCGGAAAGTTGATTGACAGAGAAATCAAGATAAATGAGTTGGGAGAGCTGACCTATTTGAGGTGGGATTAGACCGAAGAGTTCATTCAGACTGATTTCGAGATATGCAAGATTGGGGAGAGACAAGAATGGAAAGTCGTAGAGCGTACCTTNGACTGATTTCGAGATATGCAAGATTAGGGAGAGACGAGAATGGGAAGTCGTAGAGCGTACCATTTAGACCTGAAGTTGTGAGGTTCAATCTAATGACGCTTCCATGGTCATTGCATGAAACTCCAAACCAAGTGCAATGGCTTGCACTGGGCTTTGGAGGGATAGAAGAATTGGAGGTGTCATTAGGAGAAAGTGTCCATGAAGATAGCCGAGAGCTATTTTGAAGGGTAACTTTCCATTTGAGGAGAGCATTAGCTTCTTCAGTAGAAGCAGAAGCAGAAGCAACAATGGTGGTAGAGAAAGATATGTAAATTGGGAGCAAGAAAGCAAGGAAAAAGACCTTATCTAATGCTAGAGAACCCATTACGTTGTTCGATGTGTAAATGGGATAGTTCAAAGGTCTTTTTTATGTGCCAATTCTTGTACAGTAATTCAATCACAATTAATTTAATGGTTATACGACATTAAATTCCTAAATAAATTTTTCAAATAAAGTCTAAAGAACATTTCCCTTTAGAGAGATAATGAAGCAAAAGTATTATAATTTTTTTGCACAATAATATAGTAGGATCTTTTATTCTTCTTTTTTGAATATATATATGATTTAAAGAAAAATATTAGTCATTTTTTTTATCTGTGAGTTTCACATAATATTCCAAATTTTTTACATTCTTTTTAAAATTCAGTCATATAATTTTGCAAGAAATGTGTGTATGGGACCCTACGGGAGTGGGGGCCCTAAGAGATCGCCTCACTTGCATAGGGCTGGAGCGGCCCTGGGTGGTACATTGATTGCTAAATGACTTGTACATGCAAATGATGAAGAGTTTTTGTACGGTTTGTAATGATTGGTGGATTGGTTGGTTGCTGAAATTTGATTCCGTAACCGATAAAGATAAATTGCAAATTCATTTTTTCAATTGACCGTGTAATATCTGAATTTAATCAATTGAAGACATTTACAAGNCCTTCTTATGTTGCAAAAACGTAAATCTAAGTTTAGATTTTTTCTTTCTGTCAAGCCATATTATCATTCCGCCATCATTGTATTTGTAACTGTTAGTGAATAGTGTAATCGAGGATTCGTTGGTTAAAAGAACTCCTCATTTAAAACTTAATGATAACCCAAAGTTTCAAACAGGGTTCTCAGNCCCCCTCCCACACACATTCTAACTCTCCACCATTATAAGGTGTAGTGTTGTACCAATGACCACCAATCACTTCTCTACATCCCTTCCATTAGCAAGGACGTAGCTGTTAGTGGGTTCCGGTGGGCTGAAGCCCAAAGTTAAAAAAAAAAAATTATCACTTTTATATGTATTGCAATTATTAGCCCAACATGCACCATGGTATCAGACCAATTTTTGTTTTACATTGGACAAGTCAATCTAAGATCAACAAAATAAAAGGCTAAGCCAACCAAAAACCCAATATATAACATTGATCTATCTCATTGGTATTGGACTTAGTGGTCATTTCTGGGCTAATTTGGCACCAATATCAATGGTTGCTACTACAAACTTACCAACCNCCAGACCCAATATATAACATTGATCTGTCTCATTGGTATTGGGCTTAGTGGTCATTTCTGGGCTAATTTGGCACCAATATCAATGGTTGCTACTGCAAACTTACCAAGCTAATCACAAATTGCTCCAATGAAGAGTACATCTTAAAATTGCTCTTTCAAACTTATCAACAAAAAAATAATTATTTCTTTGTTACAAAATGTTTTAGTGATAAAATAAATCACTAATCTTTAGCCTAATTTCCCAAAGTCGTTAAAGCTTAAGCTCCAATGAAGAGTTACATAGTAGATTCAATGAAGAAACAATAGAATTACTTATGTTCAGCTCTGCTTTAGATTCTCGGGACAATTTTAAATCTTTCAATCTTGATCGCATTTGTTTACTTGCTGATAAGTTTTATGTAGCTGATTTTGACAGACAAGACATACATAATTTGAAATGTCAATTGGATCATTATTGATTTGATGTGGTTTGCCATGAGAGGTTTCACAGTATATCTACAATTTCAAAATTATGTCGTGGTTTAGTAGAAACAAATAAGGCGGAGTCTTACAATTTGATTGATAGGTTGATTTGTCTTATTTTAATTTTTCCCGTTTCTATGGCAACTTCAGAAAGAGCATTTTCAGGCATGAAACATGTTAAAAGTACTCTTCATAACAAGATGGAAGATGTGTATTTGACTAATTCATTAGTTGTCTATATTGAAAGAGAAATGACGGAAGCAATTGATACATATTCAATAATAGATGCCTTTTGTTCTACGAAGGATCGAATAATCCAATTTCATTAGTAAGTGTTTATGAGTTTACATTTGTAATATTGTACATATATTTATAAGTTTATATTTGTATTTTGTTAGTTGTATGAATGTTTAGTTTAGCCCGGGATAAACAAAAATTCTGGCTCTGCCCTTGTCCATTAGCATCCTAATAACCTTCACCTTTTGTCTGGGGAGAGTTCTGAAACTACATGATGGTGTTAAGGTTCAGTGGTTTAATTGTGGTGGTGGTGGGCACGGTGGGGCATTGGCTTAGTGCAAGTTCCTAATGAGCCAAAGCAAGCTGCCAATCCCCAAGCGTAATCTTGAGTATGAAAACCTGATGGCAAGAAATGGCAGCAGCTCCCAATTAGACTTGGCATGACAATTCAGGACAAAACCCATGAACTTGCAAAAGCAGAACACAAACCGACTAACCACAACTTAGAACTGACACAACACAAACCTCCAACATTTTAAGATTTTAAATAGATCGGACATGAGTTAGAACAGAATCTTGAGACCTTCAGGATTTAGAAACAGGACAGACAAGACCTTTTGGCAGGCCTACCACAGAATACTAATCTGATCTTGTGTGCAACCTCAATGCCCTCTCACTATTAGAGTGGTTCTCGGCCTGAAGGAGTTATCTACTTATGTGATTATCATTAATAGTATTTCGTTTGCTTTAAGAGTAAATCTAGTATATCAGTTTATTATGTGATAGAATTTTATTTGCTTTAGGAGTTCACTTGGTAGATTATATATTACTTATCTAGTTCTTATCTCATAATCAACTGATTAGTAGTATAAATAATAGATGAGATGGACTCTCCAGATTACATAGAGATTTATTTATTAATTGCCTGTGAGAGTGCCTCTGGTTTGTCAACATGGTATCAGAGCCATGCTTGACTAACGTCTTCTTCTCCTTTTCTTTTTAGTTCATCATAGCATGCTTGACTAATGTAAATTTTTTTTTTTTTTTTTCATTCCACAAACAGACCCTACCCCATAGCTATGTTGTTATCCTATGCTCTTCAATTTCTTCTTTCCAATATACATTCTCTTGTCACCATTAAACTAGACTCCACTAATTACAGAACATGGAAGACTCAAATCCACCATGTCCTGTGTGCTCATGGGTTCTTAGACTATGTTGAGGGCACCCAATCTTGTCCAGATGCTACAGTAGTTGATTCTTCTAACAATGAAGTTCCAAATCCAAAATTCCTTGAATGGACTCAAGTAGATCAGAGCTTTTGACCCATCCCAAAGTATTTTGAAAAAAAATTCCAAAATAAGAGTTGGTTTGAAAGTAATTCTCAAATCCATGGAGTTTTGAAAACGTCAGTTGGTTTGACCTTTTTAAGCCAAAAAACATCAGATCAACTGACGTTTTTAGCTTTGAAACTATGGCCCTATGCAACTTAAAAACGTCAGTCCATTTGACGTTATCGTTAAAAACATCAAATGGACTGACGTTTTTAACTTGAATCGCCTGATTCCCTTCTTGAGGAGTGGTAATAGGCATAATAGTGGCAACTTGTTGAGGCCTTCTTATGTTGCAAAAACATAAATCTAAGTTTAGATTTTTTCTTTCTGTCAAGCCATATTATCATTCCGCCATCATTGTATTTGTAACTGTTAGTGAATAGTGTAATCAAGGATTCGTTGGTTAAAAGAACTCCTCATTTAAAACTTAATGATAACCCAAAGTTTCAAACAGGGTTCTCGGATTAAAATTCATATTTACAGATGAATTTTGTACATTGTACATTGAACATTTCACATGAGTTCAAACTTATAGACAATTTATTTATGTGAGTATGACAGTCTACAACCTAAATGAATGTCATTGCAACATTGTGTAGTCACAGTCATTGACTACACAATAATAGCTAGTGACACTTACTGACACTGAACCAGTTTGTAGTCACATAAACTGACATTTAACTAGCGTTTAGTCACAGTAACTTAGTGTGTTGTCACATCNTAATTTGGCACCAATATCAATGGTTGCTACTACAAACTTACCAACCTAATCACAAATTGCTCCAATGAAGAGTACATCTTAAAATTGCTCTTTCAAACTTATCAACAAAAAAAAAATTATTTCTTTGTTACAAAATGTTTTAGTGATAAAATAAATCACTAATCATTAGCCTAATTTTTCAAAGTCGTTAAAGCTTAATCTCCAATGAAGAGTTACATAGTAGATTCAATGAAGAAACAATAGAATTACTTATGCTCAGCTCTGTTTTAGATCCTCAGGACAATTTTAAATCTTTCAATCTTGATCGCAGTTGTTTACTTGCTGAGAAGTTTTATGTAGCTGATTTTGACAGACAAGACATACATCATTTGAAATGTCAATTGGATCATTATTGATTTGATGTGGTTTGTCATGAGAGGTTTCACAGTATATCTACAATTTCAGAATTATGTCGTAGTTTAGTAGAAACAAATAAGGCGGAGTCTTACAATTTGATTGATAGGTTGATTTGTCTTATTTTAATTTTTCCCGTTTCTATGGCAACTTCAGAAAGAGCATTTTCAGGCATGAAACATGTTAAAAGTACTCTTCATAACAAGATGGAAGATGTGTATTTGACTAATTCATTAGTTGTCTATATTGAAAGAGAAATGACGGAAGCAATTGATACATATTCAATAATAGATGCCTTTTGTTCTACGAAGGATCGAATAATCCAATTTCATTAGTAAGTGTTTATGAGTTTACATTTGTAATATTGTACATATATTTATAAGTTTATATTTGTATTTTGTTAGTTGTATGAATGTTTAGTTTAGCCCGGGATAAACAAAAATTCTGGCTCTGCCCTTGTCCATTAGCATCCTAATAACCTTCACCTTTTGTCTGGGGAGAGTTCTGAAACTACATGATGGTGTTAAGGTTCAGTGGTTTAATTGTGGTGGTGGTGGGCACGGTGGGGCATTGGCTTAGTGCAAGTTCCTAATGAGCCAAAGCAAGCTGCCAATCCCCAAGCGTAATCTTGAGTATGAAAACCTGATGGCAAGAAATGGCAGCAGCTCCCAATTAGACTTGGCATG